CCGGGCCAACCTGTTGCCTCTGGCTCTGCTTCTGCGACCCCGACGGCCCCTCCTCGCCCCGCTGGCGACAGCGGGAGGGAGGCCAGCCTCCCTGGCCGTGGGCTCCGAGCCCTGGGCCTCAGTCTCCGAGGCGGGCGGGGTGGGCGTGTGCGCGGGGGCCCCGGCCGCCTCCGCCTGCGCGGGCCTTTCATCCAGCAGCAAGCGTTTCATCTGCGTCAGGACTTTTGTGTCCTCCGCGCGGTCTTTGCACAGAACCCGCCAGACGCCGTCCTTGCCCGGGATCTCCCTGGGGATGGCGGAGTGATTAATGTCCTCCGCAAACTCCACCAGCGCCGCCTTGGCCTTCTCGTCCCTCACGGCTCTCGTGTTCCGCAGCTTGAAAGCGCCCAGGGGCAGGAAGGCGGGCTGCAGGGCGGCTTCGATGGCCTCCTGCTCCAGGCCCTCGGGGATGTCGGTGACCAGGAGGGCCCTGTGCACGTCTACGTCCAGCCCCCTGCACCAGTCCTGCAAAAGGCTCACGGCCATGGTGCCGCCCGCTGGCGCTGGTCTCGGGGCAGGAGGGAGCCCGAGGCGGACGCGGGCTGCAGTGCCCTATGCGAATCCCACTCTGGAACAGCGCCCCGCAGGGCTTGGAGTTCAAGTTCAGGTGAGTGGCTGGGCTGAGGGCTCGGGGATCCGGGCTCCCGCACCTTCTGGCCCGCTGACGCAGCGGCCTCTCCCGAGGTCCCCTCCCCAGGACTGTCCGACAATCCGCAGGGGGCTTACGTGTCAGGCCCGGGGATGCCGCGGGACCCGCCGCTCCGCCCTTTGTCCCCGGCCTGAGTGACGCAGCGCCGGGCCAGGTGCAGGGGAGGGCGGCGCCGTGGCACCTGGAGCGGCGCGGGGGAGGGGAGCCGCCGGGGGCCAGACTCCAGCCGCGTCTGGGCGCACACCCTCCGCTCCGACCTCAGCAGTTCCGCTGCGACGCGTCTGCTCGGTCCCGCGCCTGCGCACACGGGCTCGCCCCTCCCGGAGCGGGGCCCGGTCTCCATGGAAACGCGGCCGGAGCGCGGGTGGGGGTCTGGCGAGCAGCCCTTAACCCGCAGGACCAAACCAAGATGTAGGCGTCGGCAGCACCATTTTCAGTGATGGGCCGAAAAAGGCCAAGTTCACGGGCGGGGCGAAGATGTAGAAACCTAAATCATAGGGCTCTAGCTTCACACAATGGGACTGGGACTCATTCTTCGGAGTTTATGGGTGTCACTCAGTGGAAACAGACTTTTCAGTAAGGATACCATGTGTCAATTGTGAGGTGCAGGCACCATTCAGGGTGCGCGGACCTCACCGATGGCGTGCAGGTCTCATTCGAGAGAATCAGGCCTCGCTCTCGCCTGCGTTCCTGCACTGGCCACGGCGCACGTGCAATTAACCCGGTGCTTTCGGATATGGTTTCTATAGGAGTCTGGTCATCAGTGACGTCAGACATAAGTTCTGCAAGGAAGCATTCGTCTTGAGCGGGTCCACCGACCGGGACATGGGGACACTTTCGCTTCACCATCTTCCTCCCCCACCCCCCACCCTGTCCGCGCTTCCCACGCACAGCTGCTGGGTGTCTGTTCCTACCGCTTCCCCAGGGTCTCTAAGCCTCACTGTTGTCCTCTGTGAAATGGCAGCGACAACCTCATAGGGTTCCTATGGGGAACAGGGATTTGAGGGCATGACCCAGGAAAGTACTTGTTGGAGGGGCTGGCGCGTAGCTGGTGCTCCGTAAAAGGTGGCTATGGGAATTATTTATCGAGAACTTAAACCATGACGTTAGCATCTGCTAAGTAAACAAATAACCAAAGCACTTTTTTTTTTTTTTTTAATGCGGGAAGAGAGTCTCTTGCAAGGTTACCATGGCAACTGGGCCTACGGCAAACGGAATGGCTTATTCACTCTCCTACCGACCGGGCTGCAGCTCTGATTTCCCTGCTTTTCTCTTCTGTTTTCACCCTCCTGATCCCCAGATAGATGTTAGCCTTCTCTGCCTAGAACAGCGTTGCCCAACGGACATACCATGCGGGCCCCAGACGTAAGCCACATGCGCAATGTTAAATGGCTGGCGGCCGCCTTCAATAAATAAACAGAAACAGGAGAAATGAGTTTTAAGAATAGATTTCATTTCTCCCCAAACCGACCAAATATTATCATTTGCACTTGTCATCAATATAAAACGATTATTAATGAGATATGGAACGTTCTCTTTTTCATAACAAGGCTCTTTGGAGCAGCCACATCCGAGGGCTTGGCAGCTGCACATGGCCATTGGGAATTTATTCTGAGGAATTAATTAGGGATGTGTGTGTGTGTGTGTGTGTGTGTGTGTGTGTGTTCAGACATGTGCAGCACACGTGTCTTCATCCTGTTATATATAACCCTGCATGATTGGAAAACCCAATAACAAAAGAAGAAACGAGAAGCTGGCACTTGGGCAAGGTGCTCATGAAAATGAAGATTCATAGACCGTATAATTCACCCATTTAAAGTGTGCGATTCAGTGGCTTCAGCATTCAGAGCTGTGCGACCATCACCTCAATCAATCTTAAGACGTTTTCATCACTCCAAAAGAAACCTGTACCCTTTAACCATCCCTCACCAACTCAACCTCTGGCAACCACTGGTCCACCTTCTGTCTCTAGATCTGCCTATCCTGGAGATGGCATGAAAATGCAATCATACGCTACGTGGTGAGTTTGTGTCTGGCTTCTTTCACGCAGCATATTTTCACGGTTCACCCATCTGTTTTTATGGTTGAATGATATTCCATTGTGTGAATATACCACATTTTGCTTATCCATCCATCAGTGGATGGACATTTGGATTGTTTCCCATATTTTGGCCATCGTGAGGGATGCTGCTATGAACACTCGCGTCCCAGTGTCTATGTGGGCATACGTTTTCATTTCTCATGGGAAATACCTAAGAGTGGAATTGCTCAGTCACATGGGAACTCTGTTTACCCATCTGAGGAGCCGAAGGGGCACTTTTTACAAGAGTCGCCTCAGAGCTGGGACCTTTTTCTACCTCCTCACAAAGGCGCTGTCATGCTCCCTGGCAGCCCTATTGTCTAACGGGCAGCCGCCAACCAGGCAAGTCATTTCATCTCTTCCTGCCTCGAGGTCCCCACTTTATCATGAGGTGCAGAGAACTCAGGAGACAGCGCATGTATACACACATGGCGTATACAGACCCCTCGGACCCCTCTGCCCTGAGTGTTTCTGGGACTAAGGCTTCATTCTCACCAGGGGACAGGACAGTGTAACACACTGGGCTGCATGCAGATTGTGTAGGGGACGCCCCAAGAGAGCACCTGGTACCTACAGGTATCTGAAGTGTGTTTCAGGAGCTCCTATCGCGAGCAGTTTGACCTCCTGGGGTGCGGTTTACAAACATGATCCGAGCACCACAGTCCCCGGGTGGGCGCTCCAGGGGTGCCCAGTGTGTGGGGTGCCCAGGAATGGTCCTGAACTTGGAGTCAGTTCCACGACCTTGGGACACCCTACCAGGCCGAAAATGGGTCTGAACCCATTTTCATAATGATGCTAAGACATCGTTTGCCCTTTTCACTCTTATTCTCTCGTGAGTGGAATTTTCCAGAAACTACGTGGTGTGCAATCCTGCAACCGACTGAATGCAGACGCAGGTACGCAGATCCAGCCGTCTTCTGTGGAGTCAGACACGAAAGAGATTTGCAAAAATACGTAAATCAATGCTATTCTTCTCAATTTGTTTTTCTTTTGGAAAATATAGCTATTTAAATATATGTGTGTTATTTGCATGAATGTGTAACATGTGCGTTATTGCTATTTTTAAAAAAGAGTTCATAAATAAATACTTTGAATTTCTCAGTTGGAATTCCTAATACGATAAACATTGACAGATTGAACCCACATAAACAGAAGCTCCTTGTAGCCCTTGACCATTTTTGATAATCTAAGCAGTCCTGACACCTAATAAATAGTTCGAGAACCGCCGCGTTAGAGATTACAGCCCAATGTTTCCCAAATAAGAAAAGATTATTGAGGGGGGTGTCCTCCAGTGGGTTATAATTGAATCGTGGGAGTTAAGTTCACTGCCTATTTGTGCAGGAGCTCTGACCCCGCCCCCCACCTCGGGGCGAAGGGGCACCACTGGCAAAGGGAGCTCTACATGGGGACATCAGGTCTGGGGGTGTGTGTCGGGGAGCCCCCATCAGACTACTGGACAGGGGACGACATCCGAGGGCGGAAGTGGGGTTCCTCCCTCCAACGAGGTGGAGTGCCGGCACGCCCCTCCCGCACCCTCCCACGCCTGCTCCACGCCAACCCCAGCCCGCCCCCGGCCAGCCTCCTCCCTGGGTTCAGCCTCACTCTATCTCTTCCCACTCATCTTCCTCAAGACATCACAAACTTGGCCTTGCCTCTCCCCTGCTCTAAACCTTTCTGTGGCTCCCCAAGGCCCTGGGGAGAAAGCGCAGACACCTCCCCGCGGCCTCCGAGGTCCTGCACACTGAAGCCTCGCCCTCCTCCGGGTGTCTTTCCAGGCTGCAGGGTCTGGCTCCGGTGCTAAACTTCATCCAGAAGGGATTGCTGTGTCCCCCACGCACCTCCCCCCGTAAACTAGGTAGCGAACCCTGGGAAGGCAGGGCTGAACTATATCTGTCTCTATATCTCTATATCTCTGGGTCTCCAGCTAGGTGGGAGCAGGTCCTAAGGAAATGTGTGTAGAAGGAAGAAAGGAAAGACTGCAGGGAGAAAGGGAGGGAGTGGGGGAGAGAGGAAGGGAGGGTCTCTAAAATTTAATCCTCTGGTTCTGTCCTTCTTCCCTGAGCTGTGTCTCCTTGTGCCCACCAGAGGGCGCCCTGGACCAGCAAATCCCTAATGCAGCGCCACAGCCGGCTCTACAGACAGGAATTATCATAATAAGAATGATTAACACCAACAACCGATACTTACCGCGCTACTGGGCTGGTCCTGGCCAGTGTAAAATCTGCCCCAAGTTCTGTGTTTAGAGAGGAGGAAACGCCTCTAGGAGGGAGCTGCAGTCAACCCTGGAGTTCCCTCCCGCCCTCCAGTAACCTGGCCCGGCGCTGCTGGGGTCGTCACCTGCTGTCCCAAATGCAGTTGCTTCCATGTCCTCTCAGTGTCCGTGTGGTGACCTGTGCCTCTGCCCATCTCAATGTTTTCCCTCAGTAGCGACCTCCACTGGACGCCCCACCAGTCTTGGGGGCTGTATGTGTATCTGTGTCCCGGTTCCCGTCCCCCGGAGGTGACCAGCCCCTCGTGCCGGGAAGGTCCTCCCTGCGTGTCCTGAGCAAGGCAGAGGGGTCTGGGCGTGTCCTCGCAGCCCAACTGGACTGTCTGAGCCGAGCCGAGCCTCGGGACGCCGAGGCGCAGAAGTGGACTCGGGGGCTCCTGGAGTTGGCCCCCTCGGCCGCAGGGACCACCACCCTGTGACGGAGACGAGCTTACCACGGATGGGGGCGGAATGGGGCTGGGGAGAAAGGCCCCGCCTCCCTGGGGTCTCATGGACGTCAGGGCCTGGCCCTGGCCCAGTGGCCTCCGGAGGTGCCTGGGCCGGGGTGGGGCCCCGCGTGTGACCCCTCTGACTTCTCCCGCGGCAGTTTAGGCCCCTCTCCTTGTGCACTTGTGTCTCCCGGGATCCCCCAGTAAAGTGAACTAAATATTCCGGCCTGGTGTCTTTATTCTCCGGGCAGTGGGAGCGGGGAGGGTCCAGGATGCCCCGCCCCTTGTGGCCGACTTTCAGCCAGAGCATCCTGGGACTGCCCTGTCGCTGATTTACACCCCGAGTCCTTTCTGCTTCCATCTCTATCCCCACCCTAGGATCATCCGGCCCAGCCCAGCCCTAGAAAGGCCAAGAGCAGGGGCGTTGCTGCAATTTGCAGTGTAAGAAGCCCCAGAGTCCAGTCTGATAGTCCACCTGGGTCCCGGGTTC